CGTAGAGGCCCCATGTTCGTACTGTAGATGACATGAGTTTCCTCCTGGACCGTAGTGGTTGTCGTATGTTTCTGTCAGGATTTGTGTCCGAGGGCAAATGTCGGCGTTCATAACACTGTAGGACAAATGTCGGCGCCCACAACACTGTTTGGGCTCTGACATGCCTGTAAGGGCTTAAAGCGCCCGTCTGGTCATATCCTGATGGTACTTTCCTACAGGCGTGCAGGGTATGGTCCTTGGTATTGCGGTTGACTTGAGTGCCCCACCTTATCTGCACACGTAGTTATGAAGGAGTAGCGCATAGACGTCGGGCGAGGCAGAGTCTGCCCCCTAGACGTCTGGCGAGGCGGAGCCTGCCCTCGGACATCGGGTTAGGCGGAGCCAGCCCTCAGGGGTCAGGCGAGGCGGAGCCAACCTTCGGTCGTTGGGCGAGGCGGAGTCTTCCCCCAGACGTCGGGAGAGGCGGATTCCAGCCCTTGGGGGTCGGACGAGGCAGAGCCAGCCCTCAAGGGTCGGGCGAGGCGGAGCCAACCTTGGGTCATTTGGGCAAGAAGTGTAGTTGCTTTCTTGTCTGTTCAGAAGCATCAACGTTTGATAGTTATTAACTCCTCTTTGGGTACCCCATTATTCGGTCCCCGACAAATAGCATTGTTCAATCATGAAATAAATCTAGGGAAATACAACCAACCATGCCGAGTTGAAGATTTTAACCTGGTAAAAGGATCCATCACAAGAAATCTAATCAATTGAGCTAAGCTCGAATTGCCACAATGCTTTTATTTGCTAGCTGCTTTGAGTTGTAGGTAACCAGTTTTGAGTTTGTATATTTGTATAAAATTGAATATTCCTACTAGAAACTCTAGAAAACAATGCACGGTTCGTCGACTACTATTGTATTTTGGTCTTTTCTCCACTACTTTGCTATTATTATCTTATTGTTTGGTAACCACAATAACACAATTTGCTAGTGGCAGACCAAGCAATTAAATTTCAAGTATAAATTTCTAGAAAAAAATGTATGGTTCATCGCTTTGATTATTTCATATTAGGAAGATCTAAGGAAGTAAAAGTTACAATGCATTTTCGCTGGTAAGATGACACACAAAGGAAAAACAAAAAAAATCTGGGGTACAACAAAAATGAATGGAGCCTCTACTTAATAGTGCAGTAGTGAACAAATCAACTTATTATTTTTGTTGTACTAATCAAAGCATGCTGCCTCACACTAACACAGTAGCCCTTGGTGTAGAAGTTGCTTTTATGATCAACATTTTCATGGGAAGTGTCTTTATTTGTGGTTGTGATTAGTACCCTGCATTACTCTATATCCAAGCTTATAATACAGTGCAACTTACCTGTTTGGTTTTGCCTATAGTGGTTGTAAGGAACAGTGACACGTAAGAGGGGGGGGGTTTGGAATTATCCTTTCTAAAATCTAATATTCTCTAATTCTGCTTATCAAAACCTATGCAAGGTCTCTATCTAAATGTGCATCTAGGTTTTGCTACGTGCGTTGCTATCTTTAGCGCAAACGAGTTATGCAACATAGCTTCCAATCCTATCACTAGTCTGCAATCTAGAGTAGAAATGTAAAGCACACAACCTAGGTAAGCAATGTAAATGCAGAAGCTTATGAGAGGTAGAGAATACAAACTATCGTTGACACTAATATTCTTTTCTGCGGTATCAAGAAGCTTATGCTTCTCACCGGCCCTCGTTGGAGCTCCTCACAAGGATGCCCTTGAAAGGGTCAAGCTCCCGGTTGGGTAACACGTGGAGCCCATGGGCCTTCTCCACACACAAGTGGGTCTCCACTGATCCTTCTCCCGGACCGTTCCCCACCGTCTTCACTATCGTGTTTCCAGCCAAAATACAACGGGTCACACATTCCCTTGAATACACGCTTGCTGGCCTTTCCACACATCAGAGGGTCTCGCAAGAATACAAGCCCCTGGTGTACAAGAAGTGGTGCACGCAAGCACCAAGTTGGCGAAAGGTACGCATACATCACTAAACACTAAGCCTAAGCCAAGTGCAAAGCGCCAATATGCGGGTCTAACTAGCCTATGCACTTTGCAAAGCACTACGCTAATTACCTAATATTTTCTTAAGGATTTGTGGTGGCTTGAAATGATCCTACACACTTGAAATGGTCGGCTTGGGGGTATTTATAGACCCAACTCTCAAATATGGCCGTTGGGCTGAACGTTGCGCAATGAGCATTGAAAAGCTCCGGTCACTACTACAAAAATGATTTTGCGAGGTGGTGCCCTTTATTAACTGAGACGGTCACAAAATTCAACTGCCTCGTAAAATGCCTAAGGATTTTCCGAGGCGGATGTTTTTATTTACGAATGTGGTCACAATTAACCGCCTCCCAAAATGCATTTACGGAGGCAGTCATTTTATTTGCCGAGGCGGTCAAAAATGTCCGCCTCAGTAAATTATTTACGGAGGCATGCATTTATAAGGCGACTGCCTCCATAAATCAGGCCCAGCCCGCTAACCCACGGAAGCCCAGCACCTTCTCGACAATATAAACAACACTCAAACCCTAGCTCAGTGTCATCCACCGTTGCAACTGGCCCAGAACCGAAGCCAATGTATTCCAGTGAATAAGAACTAAAAAGAGATTTTGCCGACATTTGTTAAAAATATTTTTGTTCTTTGTTAGCCAAATAGATCGACAGATCGCTGCTCCATCCGTGAACTAAAAGGGTCTAGAAGTTTTATCCCTTGTAGGATACCAATTGTTAAATAAGTTATAGACGTTTTGGAGAGGATTAAGATCAAGCACTATACGGACAACCCTCCATAGGAACCTAGTATAAGTGCACTCAAAGAATAGATGTAAGAGGTGATAATTTCTTGAGTGAAATGTACTGCAGGGGAGGCCCCCACTGTGGTAAGAGGTGATATTGATAAACAGCCATGCATGCAACACTGCTCAACCATTTGTATATTGCCATCAACATAGTCCTTGCCAAGAGCTGAATATATCTTGTCTAGCGAAGAGGTAGGGTTCTAGTGAGGAGGAAGAACAGAGAAAGGAAGAAGTATATGAGTTAATCCATTCTTATGCTTTTTCCATCTGGCGCGGCGCACTTGGTTCAAGGTCCAGTTTGGATCCATTAGATGCTAGTTAGTTAACTAATACTCCTAGGTCACCACTAATATTAGCTGCTATTAGCTAGTTTGGTCTAACTAGTGAAATAGTTAGTTGGGTCGTATTCAGCTAGCAATTAGCTAATCTAGACCTGGTCTGTTTGGATTCAAGGTGGTATTATTATTAACAGCTAATTATTAGCTCATTGATCCAAACAGGGCCTAAAACACCTCTGCTAACTTTAAGTCAAGAGCTTACAGCAAGTCATACTCATACATATACGGACATGTACACATACATAAACTTATATGCATACTCATACTCCCTATAGACCGTGACAGGAGTGCCACCTGCAGTGGCAGCAGCTCCCTGCGGGCTCGCATGGCGAGGATGAGCTCGTAGACGTCGCCGCCACCATGGGGAGACTGACGACGATGAGCGCAAGGCCACCTGCAGCCCACAATATAATACCTGTCGTGCTCGGCAGATTATTGGTGCTGCCAACAATCCACGTCATATTAGGTAGTGTTTGTTTGGATGTCAAGGTGAGTTAAAACGGTCCCATCTCTGATTTTTGGGATAGGACGGGGAGGAGATGACTCTAATTTCTGTTTAATTAAAGAAGGATGAGACCAACCCATTATTTTTTGGTCTAGAGACATCAAAAGTGGGATCATCCCCTGACAGGTGAGAACCATTTATCAGTTTTTTTCTTCCTCTATCCCCAACCGCGCTGGCCAACACAGCCTCGGGCACCACGGCTCCTTCCCTGGCGAGGACGGTCGCGCGCTGCCCTGCGCCTCCTTTCCCCGGTGAGGCCGACTGTGCGCAGCCCCGCGCCGCCTCCTCCACGGCAGGCCGGTCCCGTATCCCGCGGACGCAGCCGCCGGATGCAGCCCTGCGCCTCATCATCCGCGGCAGGCCCGTACATCACCGCCGGACACGGCCACCGGATGTAGGCCCACACTGCCGGACATGACCGTCGGGGTCGGAGGTGGCCCCGCACCTGCGGACACGGCCATTGGGTTCACAGGCTACCTCGCGCCGCCGTAGTCCGGCCTGTGCCACCACACGCCGGTCGTCAGGCTCGCACACTGCCCCGTGCCGCCGGTCGCTGCTACCTTATTCCTCGCCCTTATGCACGCGCGTGAAGCCGTCGCATGTAGAATGTCCCCATCCGCTCATTTTTCAGGGTCAGGGTCAGCCCAAATCTTACGAGTGTGTTCCTTGGTGGGATCATTCCAACCCTACATGACTCCAAACCAAACAGCACCAAAAGGGGTATCATCTCACCCCATCCTACCAACCAAACACTACCTTAGCGTCCGACAACGTGGCTTTTGAATTCGGAAGCTAGGCCATGGTAGCTACAGCACCTTCGTCTCCCATAGCTTTGGGGTAATCATATCCTAACTTCGCCAGAGCCAGTCGTAGCTAGCTTGTTCCTCGCAGCAGCAAAGCCGGTGCCAGAAATGGCCATGGTTGACTGTGAATTTTTATGGCAAATTGAATTGTTACAGCTATGGTTCCCTTTATCGGCCGAAATCTCCTGATATTTCCGATATATCCTTTTTATCCGTAGGTGCCGATAAGAAGATATCTATCTTTTTCGTACAAATTTTGTTTAAATTTATTTAAATTCAAATTAAATTTTATTTGAATTTGGTCTGATATTTCCGATATATCCAGTTTATCATCTTTATCTGTGACCCCCGATAAATTTTAATTTCCGAAAATGAAAACCATGGACTTACAGCTGGGTAAAAAAAAACTTGGAAGCATTAATAACTCCACCAAGCTGGCGAAATGAAATGATCCAGCCGGATCCCCCCATTCCCCAGTCGGCGCGCCAAAATCACTCCACCAGGCACCAAACCCTACCCACCACCCAACCATGCTTCTCCCTGGCGGATCTCAGCCGCCGCCACCGCAGCGTGCGGTGGACCTGCTTGTCGACCTCCCGACGGATGTCCTCGACAAGATCCTCGCCACCTGCTCCCGCCCCCGCGACGTGGTCCGCGACGTCCGTGCTCTCGCCGCCGTGGCACCGCCGCTGGGAGTCGATCCCGGCCTCGACATCGAGCTCCATGACGTCCGCGACGAAGGGGGCGCCTGGGGCTCCGTCGCCGGCTTCCTCAAGCGCTGCGCGGCCCCCGTAGGTCGCGTCAGCATCCGCGGCATCCCGCTGAGCTTCTACCACCGCGCCAACGACTGGGTGCTCGCCGTCGTGGGGAAGAACCCGCGCTCGCTGTCCCTCAAGCTCCCCCCTGGCCACGCCTCTGCCGTCGCTCTTCCGCTACGACCCCGCCGCGCTGGCCGAGCTGGAGCTGCGCTGCTGCGGGATCCTGGAGCCGCCTACCGGCTTCACGGGTTCCAGTGGCTAACCAAGCTCGATCTGGACGACGTGTTTTTCACGGGTAGGAATGCGTGGGCGCAGCTGGAGGCCATGGTCTCTGCGGCCGCACCCATGCATGGTTCCCTTTTTCGGCTGAAATCTTCTGATATTTTTGATATATCCTTTTTATTCGTAGGTGCTGATAAGAAAATACCTATCTTTTTCGTACAAATTTTATTTAAATTTATTTAAATTTACTTAAATTCAAATTAAATTTTATTTAAATTTGATCTGATATTTCCGATATATCCTGTTTATCCTCTTTATCTATGACCCCGATAAATTTTAATTTCTGAAAATGAAAACCTTGGCCGCGCCCACGCTCGTGGAGCTCCGCCTGCTAAACATCTCTTTCCCTGCAAAACTTGGAGTCCCAGGCGGGTGGGTCATCCAGGCGCCCAACCTCCGGCGGCTGGTCCTGTGCCTGCCGATCGCTGGCGCTGGCCTCTGGGAGCTTGGGCCGCTTCCGAACCTGGAGTTGGCCAGAATCTTCCTCAACGACTCTGCAGAGGACAGAGACTTCGTCCAGATGTTCACAGCCATTTCCAACGTCAGGGAGCTTCACATCGGCAACTTTCACATCAACAAACAGGTCATTTTGAGAGCGCATCTCTTTTGCATACACACATGCTTAAGTGAGGCAAGAACATAGTTGCACAATTTGACAAGGACAATAATCAATTGTACCTACAGTCATAAACATAGTCATATAAACATGGTTTAAATAGCACTAAAATTTCCCCTCACATGCTAGTCCAATTTCACGCCCACCTAAAAAGTTCATCTAGCACCCAAACTTCCATGTATATCGTCTAAACGGCCGTTTCAACGCCTGTTTTGACATTTACACATGTTTTAGGCACCGTTTAAACCACTTTTTTTTTACTAGTTTGATCATTTAGACATGTGTAGTGTTTAAATATTTTTTTCTCAAACCTATTTTACCATCGAAAGTACCCCTAACATATTTTTTCTCAAACCTAGTACCACAAATATGGTTGTAGCACCCGGTTTTAAGAACAAAACTACATACACACCATATATGAGCCCAGAAAAGTCAAATCTCACATATAGCTACAAATAAGGGTAATATCAAAAGACAATGCTTAAATACATAGCGTATTAGTTTAAAGATTATAACCTCAGAGTATAGACAGCGAAAAACAACTCCAATCTTCAGGCGAGTACTCTAAATCCACAGGAACAACTGACTGGTTGACCACAAGCCTAATTCCTCCAACTCTAGCAATCTGGTACCCATCCGGGATTTTCATCCAAATATTTCAAAAGTAAAGCAAGCGTAAGTACATGTCATACTTAACAAATATAACATGGGGTTCACGAGGCTCAAAAGGCTGACACTGGTTCACTGCAATTAGCTTTTAATGGTCACAATTTTAGCAATTGAGTAGCAACAAGTTTATCACTAGCCCATGTAAACATATGATCAAGTAAACATGAATAATGAATAGCATAAATAGTAATCATTAATGAGCATCTTTATCATTAGTTTCATCAATGTTCATCATCTATTCCGTAAGGGTTCCAAGGCCGCTCGTGACAGTGAGCATGGCTGATATATCAGTTTTACACTCTGCAGAGGTTGTACACTTTCACCATGAGTCATGTTACCCATATGCCCGGGTTTATAACTCCCAAAACACTTCCAAGATGAGCAGGCATGGTACACTACGAAGCTTTTCTCCAGTCGTTCTAATAAGGAACATCCGCTAAGGATTCCATCTCCCAAGTGTTATGGAGTCATCTCCAAAAGTGGCACTGATACACGCAGCATAGTACACACCCTGGGGATGAGGCCCATACCCAGCCTGGTATGCCCCTCTTGCCCTTTTGGTAAACTGCTACAAACTAGAAAAAGCAAGGTACTAAACTAAGACTAGAGCCATGTAGTCCTCATGGTTGTACTGTAAGTCCCGGATGATCACTTATAGATAAGTCCTTAGGGAGAGAAATCTGAAGCATTTAGAAAGTAGCTAAACACTCCAGCCCCCTGTTTCCAAGTTGCTAAAAAGTCATATTTTAATGTTTATTGCATATACCATTAGTCAAGTTACAAGATCATGGTTTAATTGAGTACTAGCATCATACTACCCGATGCAATACCCTATAGGTATCAAGGTACAAGTACAAAAGACTAAGATATCCTTAGTGGTAGTCAAGGTAGACACATGCAGTATGAATTAAATGATTAAAGGTGTATAGGACAACAAGGAAGATCCCATGTTATACTTGCCTTAAAACACCGATCCTTCGGTAAGCTTTAATCTTCAACGTTCTTCTTCTTCTTCTTGATCACCACGTATATCTCATCGACTGGACGAAATCACAAAGCACCACACAAGCATCCATACAATCATACACAAAGCAAACAATAGATATAAATTAGAACAATACACCAATCGTAGAAAAAAAGTGAAAGAGTTTGAAATACGATTCTACGCATCGCTACGAACACACAGACGCGAGAGGCACACTAATTGGAGCTACAGTTAAAAAGATACAACTACCGAAAGATCTACTCATAAAACTATTAGCTTCATGTGTTTTAATTATATAAAAACATATATAAGATATTCTATAGATATTATAATTTAAGTCAAATTTAGATTTGAATTATAAAACTAAAGTTAAACAAATTATATTTTATTTATAAAGTCTAGTTGCGTAATTGTTATTCAAGATATGATCTAAACCATGAAATTTAGAAATAGTAATATGGTAAACACTGTTACTAACGCGTAGATCTCATCGATATGAATCTAACACAACTTGAATGGGCTAAAACGGAGTTAAAACGCAGAAGATATGATTTAAACAAGATTTTCTTTAATAAAATAATAGATTAAATCTAATCACAAATTTTTAAAGTTAAAAATATATCTAACAGTAGTATGAACATATAGGTTATGAAATTACGAACCTAACGCAAGTTGAACGGATCAAATCAGAGTTAAAATGGGAAAGTTATGGCTAAAACAAAATCAGTGGCAAATCTATAAATAAGTGAAAACGTATTTTAGATATAAACTAACGAAACTACGCTTTCCAAAGAAGAAAATGTAATATGTAATTACGCTTTGGAGCGCGGGTCCATTTGCCAAAAATAGATGGGCTCTTTAGCAAAAAGAACAGCGAAGGGGTATGTTCTAATCTGGGCCACAGATCTAAAAAACGGACGGCTCAGGATGATGTGTATTTCTATTGTATTTCAGGGTTTGTTTTTTAAAGGAAAACGGCCACAAATAGAGCATGACATGACGTGGGAGATGATGTCATCAAGCAAGCTAGCGGATTGGAACAGCGCTGTGCATGCATGGACCAAACTAAGAGCACCGGGAGACAAAGCGAAGGACTGTGTGCTCACCTAGGTGTTCATCACGGGAGGAGAAGGCTGGCGGCTCGAAACAGCGGCGTCGGAGCTCCAGCAATCGTCGGCGACGAGAGACAAGCGACCGAAAGCAAAAGAAAGAAGGAAAAAGATCTCGGCGGCTTCGCAAACTCGTCACGAATCTCGGAAGATGGCTTACAGTCACGGTGAAGCGGCGGCACGGCGAAATTGAGCTCAGCAGCGGCGTCGCCAAGGTTGCGGCTGCTGCGGTTGGCTCGAGGCGATACGGCTGCAACGTGGGTGCGGGATAGGGAGGTGGCGCAAGGTGCGGCTCGGATTATATGGGTCCGGGCTGCTTGGCGTGCACGGCAGCAACGCGGGGCGGGGCGAGCACGGACTCTGTTGGCGGCGGGGGTGGAGTCTGGTTCGGCGATGGCACAAGGAAGAAGATGGCTGCCAGGTGGGCCAACGCGGTCAGCGAGAGGGAGGGGAGGAGAGACGCGCGGCGCGGCTACTGGGCTGAGAAGCTGGGCCGCAGCGGGACTAGGCCGACGCGGGAAGTGAAGCCGAGCTGGGCTGAGCGGAGGGAGAGGAACAACAGACTTGGGCCGAACAGGAGGGAAAAGGGGAGGATGATGAAAAACACTTTTCCAAATTTTCTTTACTACATTATTTTTTCCCATTTTCAAACCGAATTCAAATATGAATCAAATCAACTCTGAACAGGGTTTCAATTACACTTTTCATCTTAATTAAAAATGAGAAATTTTGATAAGTTCTCAAAAATAAATTTTACACCTTTTTAAATTCTTTTATTTTCAAATTTTCTTTTCTTTCTTTTCTTTTACTTCAAAGCCATTTTTAATTTCATTTACAAAAGCAATTTAAACCATTTTAAATTTTCAATCAAAACCACTCAACCAAATACATCAAATGCAAGGGCATGTATGCACAAACAGGTGGCTAAACCTTATGATGAATTTTAATTTAATGAAAAATTTTATTTTCCTATATTTTCATGAGCACAAAATTCCAAATTAAATCATTTTAGCTCTATTTCCAAAAATTCAAAATTTAGGGTGTTACAATGGTCATGTGATAAAAAAGCTCAACATATATTTTTAAACATATAAATTCATAAAATGCCATAGAACAAGTTTCATATCAATCTATGCGCTGTCACATCATAAAAGTTCAGAGGAAAAGATATATTCAAAACTCAGTTACGGAACATGTGCGTAGGTGTTTCATTTGCCAGGTGCAAATTATTGCTGTTCAACACCGATTGTCTAAACCAAGAAGGCAAAGTGCACCAACACATAACTTATGAAGCAAACAAACAATAGTCTAAAATAATAACATATGTGTGTGGGTTATCTTTGGATTTGTGTTGTGAGAGATTCACCAGCAGGGCGTATAGATGGTTTGATATTTTTATTTTTTTTCCTTGGATTTGTGTGGGAATCATTTTCGACACTGTGAGCATGTTTAATTTTGGAGACGTACACATTGTCATGCGTCTCCAATAAGCCGTCCTTAACTTCAAGCCAAGAAAAACTAATTTATTTGTCTAAAAATACTGGGAACCTAGAGCCATCTTTAGCCCTGCATGCCCCTCTTTGTTTACAGTGTCCATTGTTGGCCCATCCTTATATGTCGATCACGAAAATACAAAAAGCACAGTAATAACTAGTTTAGATAGTATAGATGAGCCCTATCCCCAATCTCTGCTAGAGACATCATCAAACATGTTGGGAAGAGGTAAATTTCTATGTGGTCATGATGAGACACAGACATAACTTGTTCCAACAACATGTTTACTGAAATGCATGTAGTGCTAATAATATACTTTCAGTCTTCTCTTAATTCTCCAAATTTGTTTCTCATAATTATCCCCAGCATTCTTGTGTAGTTTATTAGTACATTCATACGAACATACAGTGTTGTGAGAGATTCTTTCCACATAATTTATTACTACTTAATGTTAATTATCTGGCTATAATTCTATTATTTGAAGAAAAATAGGGTAAATCAAAATGAAAGTCTATGCAAATGTAAAATGAACAAATTGACTCTTTGTTGCATCCTCTGTCATCTCCTAGAGCTGGCATAATTAAATGTAAAACAGAATAAAATTCTTTCGTAGAATAAGTAAATGTACAAAAAGGAAATTACACATATCTATAATGTGTAACTCATGTTTTGAGAGTGCCTAGTTGTTCAGTATCCTTTGGTGCCTCCTTATAACAGTTGTGCATGTACATATTCAGGCATCTATCATCCTTGATGTCTACGTGGAATTA